GACTGGGCAGTGCTTACATCTGTTGTACATAGGATCACTATGAGTAAGATCCAACTGGATGACACCTAACAACAACAACAACCTAAATTAACAGAAACATGTTTTTTCCATGCTTGTGGGAAAAAGAAACACACATAGTAATTAAATTCTCAGTAGGACTGCACAGAAAGCCTCTCAAAGGGAATCAGAGGATTAGAGAACTGGCCGTGGGCTCAGGGCCATGGACAACTATGAACTGTTAAAATCCTGTAGCTTTTAACTAAGCTATTGCCTGTGATTTCTTGAGATACAGATAGTCTTCCCAGGCAAGACTCTTGAGGGTCTTAGTCATTGCTATACATTGGAACAATTCCAAAGTGTTAAAGGATATAAGGAAAGCACAGTTAATTCATTATTTCTCACAGTATGAGAAGAAAAGGGACAAACTCCAGGCCTTCATTTCTCTCTTGAAATAAACATGAATAAGAAAAAGTTTGTCATACTGTGGGTGTTTGAATGTTGTGATGATATTGGAAATGGTACCACCAGTATTTCAAATACCAGCAGGATCATCCATGGTAGAGAGGTTTCAGGAAAACTTTCAGATTAAGATGGTGTTTTTTGTTGTTAGATGTCATTGAATTGGTTTTTACTCATAGCGACCCTAAGAGCAACAGAACAAAACACTGCTCAGTCTTGTGTCATCCTCACAATTGTTATGTTTGAATTCATTGTTGGCACTGTGTCAATCCATCTTGTTGGGGTTTTTTCTCTTTTTTGTTGACCCTGAACTTTACCAAGCACAGTGTCCTTCTCTGGTGACTGATCCCACCTGGTAATAGATCCAAAGTATGAGAGGCAAAATATGGCCATTCTGTCTTCTAAGGAGCATTCTGGTTGTACTTCTTTCAAGACAGTTTTGTTTGCTCTCTGACAACCTCTGGTACTGTCAATATTCTTCACCAATGTTGTAAATAAAAAGATTAGATTTAGATTCTTCTCTGGTCTTCTTAATTTACTGTCTAACTTTCACATGCATAGGAAGGAGGCTGTTGAAAACACCATGGTTTGGGTCAGGCACACCTTAGTTCTCAAACTGATATCTTTGCTCTTGAACACTTTAAAGAGGTCTTTTGTAGATTTGTATAATGTGATACATCAAGTCGATTCTGACTCATAGTGACCCTACACACAATAGAATGAAACACTGCCCAATCTTGCACCAGCCTCACAATTGTTGTTACACTTGAGCCCATTGCTGCTGCCACTGTGCCAATCCATCTCACTGTGGGTCTTCCTCTTTTTAGCACGATGTCCTTCTCCAGGGACTGATCCCTCCTGATAATATGTGCCAAGTATAACAGATGAAATCTCTACATCTTTGCTTCTAAGAAACATTCTGGATGTACTTCCTTTAACACAGATTTGTTTGTTCTTCTGGCAGTCCATGGTACTTTTAATATTATTATTCAACACCATATCTTAAATGCATCAATTCTTCTATGGTATTCCTTATTTATTGTCTAACTTTCACATTCATATGAGGCTATTGAAAATACTGTGGCTTGGGTCAGGCACACCTTAGTTCTCAAACTGATATCTTTGCTCTTGAATACTTTAGAGAGATCTTGGGCAACCAATTTACCTAATGCATACATCATTTGATTTTTTGACTGCTGCTTCCATACGTGTTGATTGTGGATACACAAAATGAAGTCTTTGATAACTTCAACCTTTTCTAACTTTATCATGACGTTATTTATTGATTCAGTTGTGAGGAATTTTGTCTTCTTTACCATAATTCAAAGGTATTAATTCTTTGGTCTTCCTTATTCATGGTCCAGTTTTTGCCTGTATATGAAGTGATTGAAAAATACCATGACTGGTTCAGGCACACCTCAGTCAGCAAAGTGAAATCTTGGTTTGCTTTTGAACAATTTTAAAGAACTGATGCCTTTGAATTATGGTCTGGGTGAAGAGCATTGACTATGCAGGTACCATTGGCTGCCAGGAAATCCTGGTGTGGTGCTTGCCATAGAATAAGCACTGGACTGTTAACTACAAAGTCAGAGATTCAAACCCACCAGTCACTCCTTGGAAATCTTATACAAGGTCACCTCCAGAACTAACTCGAGGGCACTTAACAACAATAATCGACTGCTAGAACAAACAAATCTGTCTTGGAAGAAGTACAATCTGAATGTTTCTTAGACATGAGGATGGAGAAACTTCATCTCATATTGTTAGGAGGGACCAGTCCCTGGAGGAGGACATCATGCTAGGTATAGTAGAAGGTCAACAAAAAAAATAAGACCTCCCCTCCTCCCACAATGAGATGGACTGATGAGCAGCTGCAACAATAGGTTCAAACACAGCAATGATCATGAGGGTGGTGCCAGGCCAGGCAGTAGTATTGCATTCTGTTGGACACGGGTCCCTAAGTCAGAAGCAACTCAACTACATCTAAAAAAAATGGAAACAGAAAAAGGACATTTTTTTTAGCAGGATAGAAATTTCAAATTGACTTAAATAATAAGCAGGAAGATATATAATAAAACAAATAATCATATAAAAATTGGGAACGTAATTTAATTTAATTTTTAAATGAATTTTTAAAGGCATCAGATGGTCTTATAGACGACTATGAATAATATTTAAAGAACAGGTATTCCTATCTTATTGAAATTATTCTACACTATAAGAATGGAAGAAGGAACTTCAAAACATTTTCTAAAACTTCCTTAATTCTAATACTATATAAAAAAAAATATAAAAAGATGCAAATTCAACTTTATTTTTTAATATATATGCCAAGAGTCTAAATAAAATCTTTGCAAATCCAATCCAATACTTTATTAAAAGAAAATTGTTTAATGACTACATGGGAGTCTAGGAAACAAGGATGGTTTAATATTAGGAAGTCTATGTGTTCAATTCACCATAGGAACAAAATAAAGGAGGAAAACTGTATGACTTTACCAAGAGTTGCTGAAAAGTCATTTGATGAAAGTCAGCAGTCATTTCTAGTAATAGCAGTTAACTTCTATTAAGTTATGTTCCAGGCATTGGACTAAGTGCTTTGCTTGCATTAACTTACTTAATTCTAATAGCAATAATTGTTTATCACTACAAGTATTATTATTCCTGTTTTACAAAACAGGAAACTGGGTTTCAGAGAAGTGAAATAATGTCACCCATATAGGAAATGTCAGAGCTAGAATTAGAATCAAGGTGGTATGGCTCTTATCAGCTCCACTGGTCAGTTGCAGTCCAGTCAGTTTCAACTTATGGAAACCTTATATATAACAGAAAGAAACCTGGTCTAATCGTGAGTCATCTCCATCATCATTGGGCACATTTCAGCCCATTGTTGTGGTTATTGTATCATTCCATCTCATTGAGGGTTTTCCTGATTTTCACTGGTCCTCTCCTCTACCAAACATGATGTCAACTACACTACACTGCCTTGAATAGAATCTCTAATTAGCATGGAAATAATATCATTGCACTTAAATATGATAACCATTAAGTATTAGACTAACAGTAAATTGTACAATAAAAAGCAAAATTCTCATTAAAATTCAAGACATATTCAATGTTGGGATCTTTGTGAATGGGGGTGTCAATATATAACACTATTCTTCCCTTTCTGATTCTGAGCCAATTTAGAGAAAGATTAAAATATAATCAGATGTTAAAAGCTAAACTAGAGCACATGGATTGTCCCATGGGGAAAAAATGGACTTTATTAAACTAAATTCCTGAGGCAAACTTGGTGATTGAGTCATAGTCCTCCCTTTATGAACAAGTCCTCCTTTTATGAGGGGCCCACCACCAGAACAGCAAAGTGGAAGTACTGTTTTACGTGGGCAGACTCTAAAGGGGCTAAACTAGTGTGTTGTAATTATGTGCTGTGGAGTCGGTTCTGATTCACGGTGACCCTGTACAGGGTTTCCGAGGCTGTAACTCTTTAAGGGAGCAGAAAGACTCATCTTTCTCCCACAGAACAGCTGGTAGCTTCGAACCACTGACCTTGAGGTTCACAGTGAGTTTATTCTCCACAAATTTATCAATGAAATATTCTCCACTAATTTATCACTCCTGGGGTGGAGTGAGTAAGGGGGTACAGGGAAGGTAGGAATATCACACTTGATTGAGCTACCTCTATATGACTAATAAATTTATCAAGCAGAAAATATTAACAGAGACAAGTCTTGTAGAAAAGCAGAACACATGCCTCCTACAGCAAACATTTCCTCATTGTGAGAATTTAGGAATTGGTATGATGGAAAATGGAAAGAGGAGGGCACTTACTGAGCACATATTATGCGTATGATATTTTACATGCCGTCTTTAATGAAATGCTTAAGACTCACACTAAACTTGTGAATCCCAATTAAGAGATGAAATACTGAAACCAGAAAGTTAAGTTAATACCATTTGTCCAGTTTGAAAGAGACCACGTGACTATCTGACCTGGGAAAAAAAGACAATAAATCATCATGTGAACTTTTTAATGTGATTTGAATAACTGAATAACAACAACAATAACTGAATAACAATGTGATTTGAATAACTGAATAACAACAACAAAAATATATAAGACAAGGTGTCAGCTTTTACAAAGAGAAGAGTAAAGAATGGGGAATATTTTCCAAGAAAATATGTTCCAAGAAAAGTGTCTTAAGTTATTTAAGGAGAGAACTTTATTATGAATAATATAAATGTTATTTTCTAGTAATAAAATATTCACAAACTTAAAAATATGAATGAAGCAAGTAAACAAAGGCATAACTGAATTTTACCAATGATCTCAATTGTGCATTGTACAGACTCTCCTTTCTGATTCCTTGAGTCTCTCTGACACCATCATTCTTCTTTCGTCAGGTAGGAGCACCTACAGAACAGAGGGAATGTCCACTTTTCACAGAGGAGTGCATGGGAATGTGCCCAGAATAGCACTGTGCAATGCAAAGTTCCCTTGATATCCAGAGTCACGTGGCAATGAATTGAGAAGATCTTCATGCCACTTTTTTCCTGCCCAAAACCTTTCCCAAAGCTTCCTTTACATCCTTATTTCTCAAAGAGTAGATCAGGGGGTTCATCATTGGAATCACCACAGTGTACATTACAGCAACTGTGCGGTCTTGGGTTAGGGAGTAGCTGGACTTGGGGCGCAGGTACATAAAAAGTGTTGTGCCGTAGAACAGACTGACTGCAGTGAGGTGGGAGCCACAGGTAGAAAATGCCTTGAACCTGCCCTGAGCTGATTTCATCCTCAGAATGGCAATGAGGATGAAGACGTAGGAGACCAAGATGGTGAGAGTACAGCTGAAAAGGTTGAAACCAGCGAAAATGAAGAGCAGGATCTCACACAGAGAGGTGTCCACACAAGAGAGGGACAGGATAGGTGGTCCATCGCAGAAGAAATGGGCGACCACATGAGCACCACAGAACTTCAGGCTAAAGATACAGCTTGTGTGGATAAGAGAATTAAGAAATCCTGCGCTGTAGGAGCCAGCATTCAGAGATGTACAGACCTCAGGAGACATGATGATTGGATAGAGCAGGGGCTTACAGATAGCAGCGTAGCGGTCATAGGCCATGGCAGCAATGAGATAGCACTCACTGGTGGCAAAGCCTGCAAAGAAGAACATCTGAGCCATGCAGCCAAAGTAGGAGATCACCTTCCTCTTAGCCAAGAAGTTCACCAGCGTCTGGGGGACAACTGTAGAGGAGTAGCAGAAATCCAAGAAGGAGAGGCTCTTTAGAAGGGAATACATGGGTGTGTGCAGGGGTGCACTCACATGAATCAGGAAGAACATGACCAGATTTCCCAGCAAAGTAATGATGTACATGCCCAGGAACAACACGAAGAGCAGCAACTGGAGCTGGGGGTCATTGGTGAGACCCAAGAGCTCAAACTCAACTCCTTGACTCAGGTTTGCCCCATCCATATTTCTCCAGGGCTCTGGGGTGTGGAAAGAAGGAACCAGCAGAAATTTGATTGAATATCTGAGGGCTCTCATTGGGTTTAGCGCCTTCCCTAAAGACAACCTTCTGTCACAAAGTCTCCTCAAGTTGATTGGCTTGTTAGTTCATTGGTTAGCATTACTTAAGCAGCAATGAAAAATATATCAATGGAATATACACACCAGAAGAACTAGATGATGGTGCCAGGGTACCACTATCAAATATTTTGATCAAAGATTCCATAGAAGAATCCTGATCAAAGGTGGGGACAGAGGGGGAAAATGTAGAACAGAATACAAAATTCTCATGGACTTTAAACTTCCTCGGGTCATGGAGGGTAGATGAATCCCTGAAATAACTGCCCTGAGATCATCTTTAAACCTTAATCCAAAAATACCCCCTGAAGTCTTCTTAAGATTTGATATGGGACCAAATTGACCAAAACATGAGAATGAAACCATAGAGGGCAGTTAGTTTATGCTAATGAGGGAGGAACAAGTCAGAAAGTGAAGGTAAGAATGGTAATGTCACTAAATAGTACATATAAAAGCTGTCGAATCGGTGTATGTTTTGTAGCACTCTAAGATCAGTACTGGACTGCTAACCACAAGGTCAGTGATTCAAACCTACCAGCTGCTCCTTGGAAACCCCATACAGGGTTGCTATGAGTCGGAACCAACTCGAAGTCACTTAACAACAACAACACCCTCAATAACAACAAAATAAAGAAATTTTAAAGAAAATTTAAATTTGGCCTCTCAGTAATCTTTAAAAATTCTGAATTAAAAAAAAAAACAAACCAGTTCCTCACCAAATACTTATTGACAGCTTCATATAGGCTTACCTCTGTGTTCCACCTGTCAGGAATTCAAGAATGCCTTACCTAAGGGAGATTATCTTTCTAAAGACAATATATTTCATCTGCAAACATATGGGCTCTGGTATCAGACTGCCGATGGTCAAAGGTCAAATCTCAGCGTTAACTTACTGTGTAACTTTGAGAATGCTACTAAACCTCTGAGTTTCCATTTTCCTCAGCAGGAAAATAGTGATAATAGCACCTATCTCAAAGAATTGTTAGAATGCTACCTATTACTGCCACTAACTGAAAAACCCATCGCCAGGAAGTTGGCTCTGACTCATGGTGAATCCATGTGTGTCAAAGTAGAACTGAATAGAATTTTCAATGGCCGTGATCATACAGAAGTAGACACTGATGCTGGATGGATTCAAACCAAACTTTTGGTTAGCAGTCGAGTGTATCCAGGGACCTAACACATAGCTAAACAGGTAATTAAATATGCATAAATAAAATAAAATGAAAACAGCAAAAAAATTTAGAAAGCAACCTACCATCAGATAATATAAACAATATAAACATGTAGATGTTGGGCTGCTAAATACAAGGTTCAAACCCACTAGTCACTCTGTGGGAGAAAGATGAAACTGTGTGCTCCAATAAAGATTTACAATCTCAGAAACCCTATATATGCTTGCTATGAGATGGAATCAACTCCATGGCAGTGAGTTTTGGGTTTTGGTCACTCAAGAGTGAGAAGCCCTGAAGGTTCTGTGGGTTA